AGTGTGAGTAACAGTATTGAAGTTGTTAGCAGAATTTGAACTCTGTTAAAGAGATTATGAAACTGCAGTGTACTGTTCATAGATAAGAGAAAATGGAACCACCCCAGTGGCCTTGTGATAAGACTACAGTAATGCATCTTGTTCTCCGCCCTGACCTCTTACCTCCTAGGAGTGCTGCAAAGGCATTGTGCCTCACTCTCCACTGCCTTTCACCTTGTGGACTCAATTGCATCGATGCAAAGTGAAATGCTGTGAAATGCTGCTATTCTGACTTGCACTCATGTTGCAGAGGTGTAAATGAGTACACAATGTACAAGGCAACAAAGAATCAGACTCATTTTGTTCAGCTGGTAGAGTTTGTGTGGAGTGCCTCATACCACTGTGGAGTGATACTCTGAGATGACTGTACTATGACATAGTGAAGCTCTGAAGCCATCTGCATCTCCTTAACTGAAAGATGTCTTCCAGGTAGATGTGAAAGAAGTGACTTGCCTAACAGGTAGTGGCATATGAATGGGGAACTAGGTCTTGCATATAAAAAAGGTTATTTGGGGGTAACTAGATTTCTTAAAATCCTAAGATCACAGCCCTTATTTTTCCCAATAAATCATGGTAAATATACAGCTTTTTACAGAGTTTTTTAAAATTGAAAGAAAAAATACAAGTGTACAGAAAAGAAAAACATAACAAATTATACAAAAAATTCCCAGAGATAAATATAACTGAAGCAGTTGTGATTTTTCAAGACTATGATTTAAAATAATGTACTGGTTTCCATTCAGGTAACGATGGGAGTATACACATGGGAATATATACATGGGCAAATCCCTGTATCCACAGAGAACCCCATGGAAATCTGCTGCAGGATTGAGACCTTGGAAATGTCCAGGGCAGCCTTTAAAGCTGTTTTAAGATATCACAGGATAGTTTTATCCACTGACCTTTTGTAGCTCTAGGTCAGACTTTTTGAAATACAGTAGCTACATTTGTTACCCCTTAGCCTCCACCTCTGATGATGCTTACTGTGTTGATGGCAGGCTATTACTGGAATAATGCTCAGAGGGCAGAGTAATATCACAAGCAAAAGACTACAAATTTAGATGGTTAATTCTCTGGCTTGTCTTTTTCATTTGTTGTATGTTTGTTTCTAACTCAGCCTTTTGTCTAATATTTATATTACTTGTGACCAATATAAATTCTGAAGTCTAAAATCCTAATTAAATTAAGTGAATATAAAAGCTTTTCATGGCATTCCCCCCCCCCCCCCCCCCCCCCGGAACAGACTATTAATCTTTTAACAAACAGTTCAAGTGGACAAGCAGATCGATGTAAAACAGATCTTTAAAGGGGCTAAAACAAGTTCATAAACTTTGTAAGTAACTGCTTGATACTGATGTTTTCTATGCAATTAATGTTTCCTGTGACATAGGGGCACAGAGCTTATCTTGAACATTTGAGTAGTTCAAGTGGACTTATACTAGCATTTGTTCTCCAGTGTCCTTGTCCCTATCACCCCACATTCCAAAACTCCCCATGCTCTCAAGTGAAGGCAGCAGTTTTCAAAGGATGGAATGGTGCAATGAGGCTCTATAGCTAGTGTTCCCCGAGATGTAAAGTGAGGCAGAATGGAACAATTAGGCTCTTTATTTTAAAAAATCATCATTTCCTCCTGGAGTAGAGACACCCACAGTATTTATCCTGGTCTACACTGACTGCTAAAATGCATTCAGCATAGTGTCAGCTAATATGTTTGGTAGCAACCATGTTCAGTATGGTACAATCTTGACTACGGTTGTCAAGAATCATGTTAGCTGACATGATGATAGAGGTCAGTTTAGAATAGCCTCCAATACAGTGCCTAGCAACACAACTCTTGAAAACCATGCACAGACATGGGGATAAATTGTAGCACAGAGAAGGCCTAAGTGTGGGGAGGATAGAAGGGGAAAATGATTAAAACAACTCCTGGGGTTCTTTGCTATAGCAAATTACTCTACAGACTAAGTGGTCGGAACATTCACCCTCTGCACATACAATTGATGTGAATGGCTGCGCCCCTGTGTTGGCAGGGCAGTTGTTGTGTGTGTGTATAAAGGGGTGGGTTTGAGGAGGAAGCAGAGTCCAGGAGACATGCAGCAGCTTCTGAGTTGCTCCCTATCCTGCAGGTGTTAGCACTTTCATAGCAAAGCAGATCTTGTGGATGGCTGTATTGTGTGGGCAGCTAGTGGCAGATGGCGGAGAGTCTCTTGAATGAAATTTTGGCCAGAGGCAGTCACTGATATTAATGGCCTCATCTGTGCTAAAGTACAACTGTTTTTGTAATCAGTTCATGATGCTCTGATCTGACTGGGGTTACCCCAACACTGTGGAGGTGTGTCCAAGCAGCAGCTTTTCTTTCAAAACCCAATTTGTGTGTTAACCATGTTTGTGTGTCTACAGCATGTGCCATGACAGCAGGCTCAGTGCAGCTCTTCCACCCAAGGGGCTTGTGCACTCCAGGGGCACTTCTTCACTGCAACAGTTAGCTTGAATTGGGCTAGCTTGAACTCCAGTGTACTATCTCGAGTGACAGAAACCATCCTGTGAAACAACATTTGAGCTACTCAGAATGATTGAATTAGCAGCACAGAACCATTGGATTAGCGATGTGTTGCTGTGACTTGAGCTACTTGCATCCCCACTGCATTACTATACTATCTCTAGTGAGTTTCAACCTCCCTGCCCAGAGGCTGCTCTGGGCACAGGCAAGATAGGCAGCTGCCTAGGGAGGCAGATTTCTGAGGGCCACACATGATAGGACCTCCCTGGTTTCCTTCCATTGGTGGTGGTAGGGGATGAGGATGGTGGGGCTACCTGGGAGATGGGATGGCCACCAGCTGGGGCTCAAAGGAGCAGAAAGTGACCTCCAACTGAGGTGCCAGGGAAGTGCTCCCGCCTGCTCCTCAGACCTCAGCCACTCCCTGCCCCCACCACAAGTGAGATCGTGGCTGAGGCACTGAGCAGCTAGGGGTTGCTCCTGGTGGCATCGCAGGCACTGCTGTTGCTTCAGCTCCATGTTGGCACCCAGCCCACACCTCCTACTCCATGCCTGGCACTGTGGGTCCTGCCCTGGACTTGCCCGGTGACTGCCCTGTGCTATGGACCTGACAGGAAGGGGCTCATCCAGAAAGATATGGGGGCAGAGTGGGAGCCAGGTGGAGGTTACTAGGGGCTGGTTCGGGGGTGTGGCATCCTGGGGGCCAGATGGTGTGTGTGGGCTGAGCTGGGGAGGCAGGAGCGTTGTGGGGGGCAGATGGCGAGTGGGTGCCTGTTGCAAACTTCTAAGGAGGTAGGAAGAGGGCAGCACACTGAAGTTTTGTCTAGAGTGGTGGATTGGCTTGAGGATCCTCTGTCCTGGAAACCCGCCCGCTTCCCCACTGGGCCTGCTCTCTCGAGATTAAAGCACCATTTTACTCGAACTACAGACTTTTGTGTGTGGATGGGAGTCAAGTTAGGAACAATATTTGTTATAGCTGGAGCTAACCACGCAGTGAAGACAAGCCTTGAGACAAATATATTAGCGTACTTGCTGCCAATGGCTCCCAACCTATTTTGGTGTTGTTGGAGCTCCCACGTATGCCTCCGAAATAACAAGTCCTGACATAGTTGTTTCGCTCTCTCCTTAGTTTTTCTCTCATTTCCTCATCTGTGCCTTGTTTTTATCCCCTTCTAGTTGTATGGGTTTTTTTTGCTGACCGTTCTCCCTCTGTAGCTCGGATCCCCCTCCACATTCTCCCATGCACCACAAGGCGAGATGATGCTTTAGGAAGGGCAGGGACTGACTGAGCTGAATACCACTGGAGTAGAGCAGAAAAGCTTTTGGTGGCAGGCTGCTACCTGAGCCTGAAGCCCTGTACATGAGCTTCTCCTGGAATCACAATACGTGAGAATTTCCAAGGAACCCCCAGCCATTTCACCTGCAGGTAGAGTGGGCTATTCCCGCCATACTCCTCTCCTCTTCTGCTCTGGACCCTCAGAAGTATTTGGAGTCAGGAAGGAATTTTTCCCCAGAGTCAGATTGGCAGAGACCCTGGGTATTTTGTCTTCTTCTGCAGCATGGGGCACAGGTCACTTCAGGTTTAAACTAGTGTAAATGGTGAAGTCTCTGTAACTTGAAGTCTTTAAATCATGATTTGAGGACTCAGTAACTAAGCTGGTTAAGGGTCTAATACAGGAGTGAGTGAGCAAGGTTCTGTCACCTGCAATGTGCAGGAGGTCAGACTAGATGATCATGATGGTCCCTTCTGGACTTAAAATCTGTGAGTCTATGAAATGAACTGGACTCCTCCCTTCCTCAGCCTAGAGGCACCCAAGCCCTGCACCAACTGAGCTGGTCCTACATGCTCTCTACTGTTCTGTGGATGCCACAAATGGTTGGAGGGGGGAGGAGTGGGAATAGCCACTGGCCACTTTTAAATGGGGGAAGCCACAGCCCCCCACTTGTGAGTACATGAACTCAGCAGAGGTGCAACAAGGGGGATTCTAGCCCCGCCCCTAATCAGGGCTGAGCGGTATAAAAGCAGAGCCCCTTTCCTGCTGGCATGGCGGAGGGGCAGCCAGGCCAAATCTAAGTGGTGTTGCAACCCTGTGTGTGCCAGGTCGCAAGGCCACTCACTCTAATCCGGCCCGCCCACCCCTCTGCCCTGCACTTTCCCCAGTCCTCCTGGTGCCCCCCATGACTCCTTGCCTCCTCCGCGCCCCCACCGTCTCCCCCCATTGCTCTCCCTGCTCCTGCATGGCCAGAGGGCTCTGGAAGCGATGGGTGAGGGGCCTCAGCTCCACTGGCCACGTGGGCCCCGCTCCGCGCAGCAGCGCCCGCGTCCAGGAGCTCCAGGCGCCCTCTCCCTGCTCGGCCGGGCACACAGGCGGGGAGGGACGCAGGGCGCCCTCGCCGCGACGGGGCGGGGACTGACTGCCCGGGCGGCGCAGCCCCCGTCCCTCCTCCCCGGCGTGTGTGCATGCTGGGCTGGGAGGAGGCTTCCCCCGGCTGGGCCAGGGGAGGCTCAGAGTCAAGGAGGAGACAGAGCCGAGAGCTGCCGGAAACGTCTAAGCGGCAGCCGCGCTAGCCCGGGGGAGCCCGTAATGCCCTGGAGGAACAATGTGAGCAGCTGACAGCAACTCAGGAGCGCTGCTGTATCCGCCGCCTGCTTTGCTACGGGGCCGGGCCAGACTCAAGGGGGCCGGCTCGTGAGAGAAGTAAACTTCCCCGGGACGGGGAGGGGGGACGCGCTTTCCTGCAAGTTCCCATCTACTCCCCCCAAGCCCGAGCTCCTGCTCTCTGCTCAGCCTCGCCTGGCCCCCCTTGGCAGCGGGGCTGCTGCCGCTACTGCCATGGGGCTGCCCACTCTGGAGTTCAGCGATTCCTACTTGGACAGCCCGGATTTCAGAGAGCGGCTGCAGTGTCACGAGATTGAGCTGGAGAGGACCAACAAGTTCATCAAGGAGCTGATCAAGGACGGCAGTCTGCTCATCGGGGCCCTCAGGAGTGAGTAGGGGGCAGTGCGAGCCCTGAGAAGGGTGGAAGCGGGACAGGGCATATCTGGGGTGGGGGGAACAGGGAGAAGAGGGTGGGGGAGAAAGAGGCTTCTTTTGTTTGAATGGATGTAGGGAAAGGGCTCCCCTGCTGGCAGCCAAAACAAAGTTTGCTAAAGTTTTTGTCCCCCACCTCCTTATCTTCAGGGAGATGGATCAAAGCGTAGGGGTGAGGCGTTCAGTCTTGACTTGCATGTCATTTTTCTTGTCTTTTTGCATAGCTGGTGTGTTTCTGAAGAGACCCCAGCGTTCAGGATCGGGTGGTAATTGTGCCCGGTCTAAGACCCAACTCATTCCTGATGAATTCAAGTGCTGTAAGAGCATAGTGACACTTTAGATAACAATGATTCCTTGATAATCAAAGCTGCATCTGTGTGCCTGTGTAGTATGTATTTTCACGTGTGCAGCAGTTAAAACATACATGGTAAGGCTGCCATGAGGGAAATCTTCCCAGAAAGTGAGGGGAATAAGTCCCATATGGATTTGTGGGGATCAAAATTCAAATAGAGAATGTCAGTATAAACTCACACCTATCACACTTTCTCAGTAATTGCATTCATCACTAGCTAACTGGTATCTTGAAGGGGTGGTTCTAAACAATGATGGAAAATTTTATGTTAAATGGCCAAAGCAACAAATTGGATTTTTAATGGATTTGAGTGAGAGAGAGTATTTGTACCTTTTCTGGTTTTGTTGTATATTTCTTAATGGACGTTTGGTTTTTAAATATAAGCTGATAGCTTTTTGACTTCAACATAACTATGTTTAGGAAGATAGTGAAGGAATGAGTCAACTAAATAGCTTAATGTTCCACTTTCCTTGAAGTTCCGGGTACTTTTATTGAGTGGTGAAGGGGGCTCTTAATGTGTTCTGGGATACGGGCCTCTTGTTGGAGTTAAATCTGAAGAATGTAGAGCAAACATTAAAGATTATTTCTGGTGTTACTGCTTCCATTTTGCACCTTTCCCCCCCCTCTAGCCATGGTCATCCACTTCTTATCATTTAGTCAGACTGGATGATCCCTTTTGCCTGTTGATCAGACATATTTGGTCAGAGCTATTACTTGACCAGAGGAGGTGATGACATACAGTTTCTCTTGCTATTTCCTTTGGTTGTTAAACATTGCATATCTCCACCATAATGTACTACATCTTCACATAAATAATTATTTGGAGAAAAATGTAATACTAATAAAAGTGAGTGTTAGCAGTATCACTGAGCCTGGCAAGCTGTGAGCAGGTGTTACAACAAGTTCCTTATACATCTGTACTGTATTAGTAAACCTCACTGTTTCTTGTGCTATGACATTTGTCTCATTGCTCAGAACAGGATTCGAACTTGCAAGTATTATAGGTGGGCAACAGTGTTATTGACAATTTCCATTGCTCATTATAGGTATAATATAGGTAAGGTATTTGTATTTATATAAATAAAATAATCAGAGGCTTTGGTGATGTGCATATAAACCTAAATACAATTGCACACATATCTACTCTCGGGATTAGCTTGGGTCTAAGCACTTAATTTTATGCAAGTACAAACTGATTTACATTTTCAGTTGTACCTAGTACCTGCAGTGCATATCCTCCGACTCTCAGATCTTTGTTCATGTAGAAAACGTGCAGGTATATATAAGAACATAAGAACGCCCATACTGGGATTTAGCCCAGTCTCCTGTCTTCCAACAGTGGCCAATGCCAGGTGCCCCAGAGGGAATGAACAGAACAGGTAATCATCGAGTGATCCATCCCGTGTCGCCCATTCCCAGCTTCTCGCAAACAGAGGCTAGGGACACCATCCCTGCCTATCCTGGCTAATAGCCATTGATGGACCTATCCTCCATGAACTCATCTAATTCTTTTTTGAATCCTGTTATAGTCTTGGCCTTCACAATGTCCGCTGGTAAGGAGTTCCACTGGTGCCTTGTGTGAAAAAATACTTCCTTTTGTTTGTTTTAAACCTGTTGTCTATTAATTTCATTTGGTGCCCCCTAGTTCTTGTGTTATGAGAAGGAGTAAATAACACTTCTTTATATACTTTCTCCACACAAGTCATGATTTTCTAGACCTCTATCATATATCCCCTTAGTCATCTCTTTTCCAAGCTGAAAAGTCCCAGTCTTATCGCTCCTCACATGAAAGCCGTTCCATAACCCTAATAATTTTTGTTGTCCTTTTCTGAACCTTTTCCAATTCTAATATATCTTTTGTGAGATGGGGTGACCACATCTGCATGCAGTATTCAAGATGTGGGGGTACCATGGATTTATATAGATTTACCATGTACCATGGATTTACAATATAGCCAGGAACTTTGATGCTACAGATTAGCTAAAGCTTGTTTAGTTAGTTTATAGATTGATTTTATATTTGTTCTGTGTTTAAAACAGGAGATTTCAAAGAAATCACCAGTCATAAACTTCAAATACTCTTAAACTAAGAGAGAGAAAAAGTTGTATTACTTCTTGCAAGCATGTAAGTTTTTTCTTTTCCCTCTATATGGCTTTGACTCAACTATATAGATGAAAGTATTTGAAGCTAGATAGCTGGCAAAACCAAACTGGCCCTGATCCCGTGTGGTCTTGAGCATGTACAACTTTTCTTATCAGTGGGTGCTTAGTGCTTTTCTGAGCCAGATTAATGTGTGTTCACATCTGGAATTGACAGGTGCTTTGCTGCTTGTTTTGAAACTAAATAAAATATGAACAAGAAATTTCTTCTTAATTGGTAACCTAAAGAGGGTAGAAGTGGAGGTGTGTGTGTGGGGATAGTGTTATTTGGACACACTAATTTATGCCCCAATCTTGCAAACCCAATCTTATATGTTGTAAGAGGTCCAGACTCACCCCTGCGGCGCCTCCTGCTGGTTGTCCAGGGAATTAGCTCACCAACCCCTGGAGCGCCCTCTGCAGGCCGGTGATCCACCTTGTCCTCGTCTCTGGCCCCTGTGTCCCTCCCAGGACCCTGGTGCCACTTGCCCTGGGTGCTGCCCCCTGGCAATACCCACACACACTGTCTCCCCTCCCAGGGGAACCCCCACCCACTAACCCCACCTCACCTCAGGTGAAGGCCACTGCCAGTCACCAGCTAGCCCCCACTCTCTGGGGCAGACTGCAGTATAGGCCACTCATCATTGGCAAGGTTGAGTTTGGACCTGCTGCCTTGGCCTAGCCCTGGGCTGCCCTCTGCAACCCCCAGTACCCCTTGGCCTATTACAAGGCCGCAGCCTGGGGCTATCCAGGCTGGAGCTCCTCAGCCCTGCTCCACTATAGGTACCCTGTCTGGCGCCCTGCAGCCAGGCCCTTCTCTCTCTGAAGGCAGAGAGAGACTCTTGAGCATCTGGCTCCCAGCCTCTTTATACAGGCCATCTGGGCTCTGATTAGGGTGTGGCCCAGCTGCAGCCACTTCCCCCAATCAGCCAGGGTTTTACCTTGCCCTGCCCCAGCTGTCTGCAGGGCTTTTCCAACCCCTCAGGGCAGGTGCGGGTGTCCACTCTGCTACATATGTGTTAAACTTCACACATGTGAGTAGTCCCATTGAGTTCAGTGCTTGCAGGATTGATACCTTACGCACATGTTTTCAACCACTTTCCCATTCTCTGGGGGAAGAAAAAACAGTTCTATGATGATTAGAATTATTTGTTCTGCAAGTCTTAATTAGCTTAGAGCCTTATTTAAGAATTTCCTTATTGTTTGACATCACTCATTTTATTGTACAAACGCTATTCTGAAGTGCTTATTGCCGAGTCCTCCAAAGCTGAGATCTTTTATTTTCTAGAAAGAACTACCACTCTCCTCCCGGCTCTGTTCAAACGGCTGTTAGTGACCAGATACAGATATTTGACTCAGGAGAGTAATGCCAGGGTAACTTATAACAAGGTGACTTTGGAAGTGTCTGTGTTTATGGGGAAAAAAATGAGAAATCTGTTGTATACCCCTAGGTGGATTTTGGTATAAAGGAGGACTGCAAAAACACCAACACTGCTCTGGCAAGTAATAGCTGTTTACAAGAACTAAAGTTCTCATGTGGAAGGCTTTTAAAATCAATGCAGTGTTATAGCAAGGCTGTTTTGTTTGAGTTGGAAAATCTAATCAAATACCTGAGTAAATAATTAATGTAATGACAGACTCTTGTGTTTTGGTCTTCAAGCCTTAACAGTCTGTTATGCAATCTTGGAGAACTGCTGTTTTCATTTACTCTGTCCCACATTTCTTTGATGAACTAGTATTAATATTCTTTGATCTACAGATACTCTCTAAGAAATTGCTTACAAGTAGAGCTGTATGAAACTCAGAAACTTTGGATTTCAAGAGTTTCAGTGAGTGTTTATGTACCTCTTTTGCATTTTGTTTAAAACTTTTAAAAGGAATTTGATTGCATATGGATCTTCATGTTGCCGTGCTGTTGTTTAAGAGGGTTCTTTCTGGGAAGGGAGAAATGGAGCACCTGATGCACAGCCTAATGAAGTCTATGAGAATCTTTCCACAGATTTCAAAGGGTTTTGGAGTAGGTCCTTCCACAATAAATATGTAGGAGAAACAGTGAAACTGGCTCTACTTAAATTGAAAAGACAGAGAGAAAAATTTCTTTTTCTAATTTTCCAATTATCTAAATCCTAGGTGTTACTTGTAACTCTAGATATACAATTTTCAGATGGAAATAAAAGTTGATGAGTCCTTTCCCATGGTTAAAGTGGCTTATAATGAACACTTGTCAGGATAAATTGTAAAAATGTAGTCTTAAAAAATCTCTGGCAGGATGCCCTGTATGTTGGTAAAGGTTGGATGAATGAGTTTAGTATTTAACGTAGGGGTGGGCAAACATCCGGTCCTTCAGACATTTGAATCTGGCCCTCGAGCTCCGGCCAGGGAGCAGAGTCCAGGGCTTATCCCACTCCGGTGCTCCAGTCGGGGAGCAGGGTTGGGGGCTGGCCCCGCTCCATGTGTACTGTTGC